TAGGAGTGACACCAGAAAAATCTGAGGGGTGCAACATAGGATTATCCCCTCCAAGTAATGGTGTCTGAGACTGAGTCAATCTTCGTTGATTTTCTGCTTCCATCATAATGGCATCTTGCTTAGTTGAAGGGGTTCTTTGAGGTGTTCGCATAGGAGTCATTGCATGCTGTGGTGTCTGGGCATAATTTGCAAGAAGAGCACGTGTTGCAGCATTCCCTTCGGATAGTTCATCACCCCCTAGTAGATCACTGGCAATACCTATCTTTGCTATGGCCTCCAATTCATGATCTGGAATCTGTGGTGCAGGAAGATTGAGTTTCGACCTCTTCCTCACTGCTTCTGGATCATTAAGTTTATTTGCATGCAATATGGCTGTAGGGGCATCCTGCCTTTCTGCAATTTTATTCCTTGCAATATCCTGCTTTCTTAGACGAGCTTCCTTATCGACTCTCCTTTCACCTTCTAGTTCTTCAATGGTAGTTGGAAACTTAGGTTGCTCTACAGGACGGTCTTCCTCAGCAACATCATAGAAACCTGGAGGAGGCTTCTTTTCAAAGGGTATTTCAGCATTGTAATCAATTCCTCTCCTTTTTCTCTTCCTTTGACGGGCATCTATTCCAGCAGCCTTCAGTTCTCTCCTTTTCTGTAAGGAAGCAAGCCTTCGAGCCTCTTCAAGCTGCTTTTCTCTAGCTTTCCTTTTAGCCTTCTTACCTCTTGTGTTTGCCAACCGAGCCCGTGCTTCAGACAACATTTCTTTCTCATCCTCGTCCATATCAACAGGATCAGGACGAGCAGGCTTTGATTCTGGATTAGGATCAATCTCTCCAGGCTTCAATTTTCTTGGATCATCATTAGGGTCATAGTTTTCATCCTTGGCACAAGCTGCATCGAGAAGCTTTTCATAGCGTTCAAGGCACTGGGATGGTGTACGGCCAACAATTGGCGCAATAGTCCTCCACTGAGTAGGCATGAGCTTTGCAAGGTGAAGAAGTTTCTCATCTTCTTCTCTAGTCCACTCAGTCTGGAAAAAATAAAGAGCAGCGAGGATGTTAATAAGTTGTTAAACTCAGATATAAGTTCCTACTAACAGCCTGAGGTAAATTGGAAAATCCGAGTACTTTCCACTTTCTCAGTTCAGAAAATCATTTTATGCTGATGATAAATGGAAAACCAGAAAAAGTTTGAAAAAGCCCAGAAAGAAATTTCTATACAGAAACTGGTTTCAGAAATTGTATCCCGAGTAAAGAAACCAAAAAGCAAACTCGGAGAAAGCCATAGCATGCTCACAAAGCAGAACTTTTCTCATTCACAATGGAATAGGAAGAAAGGTAACAATTACCCACAAAGAAATAACAGTGACAGACATTACAAAGACAAATTGCATGGCGCATTAAACTAAGCAAGAACAAAGAGCCAAAACCAAGATACAATGAATACTATAAGGTACAAATAATCAAATGACACAGAAAGAATGATCATACATAAATAAACAAGGACACAGAAAGGATGGTCACATCACTAACAACCATGCAAGAAAATTAAGTACGTGGAATCCAATAACATATCTCAAAGAATCCCAACTCCAAACACCTAGAAACTATGAAGAGTATATTTGTTATGGTTGACTTGACGAAATCATTTACCAATTTGGTTTATCATAGACAGTGGAAAATGTATAATATTTTACTCCAATTTGGAGGAAAATAGCCTTTTCTAAAGAACGAGAAATACCAAAAGCAGCCTTGGAAGCTCGGGGATAATGGGCACGGCCATCTATCCTTCTCCACTAAAATAATATACTTAGTTTGCATGGCGCAGAGCTCGAACCTATGACTAAGCCACAAGTCCCTCAACTTTTGCCGCTTGAACTAAACCCCGGGGGCAATTTGGGGGAAAATAACTTTGGCACTAAATAGCAAAAGTAATTTTCCTTTTCAGAGACATTTAACTCGCATTCATATCACTTGTTCGAATCAACACTTGGACATTGTTTGTCAAAATACTCAAAAGAACACTAAAATCACTGTCCCCATACCCCATCCTGCACATTGCACTATGAGCATATCTCACCTACATTTATATACCCTACCAAAAATTTATGAAAAATACTCAAAAATTAAACATTTCTCCAAAGAAAAATTACTACTCCTTCTATTTCAATTTATGTGAATTTATTTATTTTTTTAAAGAAATTAAAGAAAGAATGGAAGACTTTTGAAGCTAGTGGTCCAAAACAATCGGTATATTTAAGGGTACAATGGGTAAAGTTACATAATTTCCACATTTAGAAAGAGGCCTTTTTTTTTTAAATGGACTAAAAGTGAAATAGGTTCATATAAATGAAAATAAATTTTTACAAAGAACTTTTTCCAAAATCAAAGAACAAATATTAACAGCATATAATACAGAAACCAAAAAAAAAAAACGGGAGAAAGCCATGGTATGCTCACATAGCAAAACTTTTCTCATTCAAATGGAATAGGAAGAAAAGATAATAGTTATCCACAAAGATATAACAGTGCTAGAATTACAAAGATAAATTGCATGGCGCATTAAACTAAGCAAGAACTAAGAACCAAAACCAAGATACAATGAATGCTTCGAAGGTGTTAAATCACCAAATGGCACCGAAAAAATGGTCATATATAGATAAAAACAAGGGACACAGAAAGGATGGTCATATGTCACTAACAAAGTACGACGGATTCCAATTGCATATCTAAAAAACCCAACTTCAAACAACCAGAGACTACGAAGGGTATGTTTATTATGGTTGACTCTTTTTTATGATCGAAAAATCCGTTTGGGGCCAACCCTTAGGACCAATCGCAACCTTCGACACTAGCGGATAATGGGCCCGCCCCTCAACCTTAATTTGAATGGCACAAGGCTCGAAACTGTTACCTAAGTGGCTAAGTCACAAGTCCCTCAACCTTTTCCACATGATTCCACATGATATATTCCGACTTGGTTATCATGGATTGTGGAGAATGTTAAATACTTTACTCAAATTTGGAGGAAAATAACTTCCACACTAATAGCAGATGTCATTTCTCCATCTCAGAAATCAACATGTATGCCATATCACTTGTTCGAATCAACACCTAGACATAGTTTGTCAAAAACTAGTACTCAAAAAAACCTAATATCATTATCCTCATACACTATCCCGCAGCTCTCACTATGAGCATATGTGTCAAGTACTTTTACACCCTACTAAACCTTGAAAAAAGCTCCTGAAAATAATTTCCAAAGATAAAACATTTTCCACAAAAAAAAATATTACAACATCAGCTACTACACCTCGTCCTAAATAAGTCGAGGTCGGCTATATGAATCCTCACTAGCCATGTCACTCCATTAAACTTATCTCAGGCCAATAATACGAAAATATAAATAAAAAGTACTCATATTAGAAGTTATACATATTTTCCAAACGTATAGATCTCTGGAGGGCTAAACCGCTACTATAAAGCATTAAACCTACAGCAAAAATTGCTAATGTCTAAAGCATATACTCAGCTAATATGTATCACCTAATAAAATTACGATTATAACAAATAAATAATTACATAAAACATTTTTCAAAGCTAATGAACAAATATTAACACCATATAATACAACAACAAGGTTAATCAATTTGAACATTATGGTTACAAGTTCGCTATCTTAATACATCCCGTTTGATTTACTAGGTTCAAAATCTATCATTTATACTTATTAATTGGATCTTTTAACATATATACAGGGATCCGCCCGTTCCGATCCTTGCCTACTAAACAGTTGCACCCCCGGATATGTATGTTGGGAGAACCCCATGATCCTTCTGTGTGGAAGGGAAGGAAGAACAAGGCGAACACAAATACTAAAAAGCGGTTCATGGGGACCCCGAAAAAAGGGGATAGAGAGCGCGGAACGGGCTTTCCAAGCATAAGACAATCCCTACCTATACATTCCATGGCATCAGACAAAGGCAATTTTGTCGTTGTTCTTAACCCCAGGCACACTTTCGTTCCCAATAATCTCCATTAAAAAACTATCATGATTTCCGAACGAACCGAGGGAGAGTCAGAGGCATGAAACAAGCTACTGGGGAAGATGCATCCATAAGTCCAACGCTACATCTGCCCACGCGTTATGAGCATGTCACCTACATTTTTATAACTATGGTGTCCTGGCCAGCTTGCACGCACCTGACAAACTCGGCCTGACTAATTTCAGGGGATACTATCAGCAACAAGTACCAAGTACCAGATAACTCTGTCCACCAAGGCTTGGACAAATGGGGAAAAATCACCTAGTTTTTTTTCCTCTGTTGAGAATTGAATGTGAGACTTCGTGATTCTTAACCCACTTCATTGACCACTAGGTCACACCGTTAGCTACCACGTCACCTACATCTATACCCTAACATCTATATTTATACCCTACCAAACATTGAAAAATTACTAATAACAAAACAATTTTCACATAACATTTATCAAAACCAATGAACAAACAGTAACAACATATATATAACACAGAAACAAGGTTAATTAACCAATTTAAAAAAAGAATAACTTGCCTTTTTAATGGAAGGATCGAGCCACTCATACCAGCGAGCTTTACACTGCTTTGCAGACTTTCGAACGAGTAAAGAAGAAATACGAGCCCATTGATTTTTCCCATACTTCATCACCGCCGCCTTTAGAATCTCGTCCTCCGTGTTCTTCCATACTCCTCCCTTTATCATAATCCTCATTTTTGCTGATTATTTCAGCCTCCCAAGGGAGACTCGGAGTAATCTAGGGTTTCGAAAGCTAACTCAAAAGATAAGCTCGCGCGGAGCTTTTAGTGTTTGAATGTGCTAAAATCTATACGCCGGTGAGGATAGGATTTTCCGATTTATGGCATGGCGGCGTTTGTCGGTCTCCGACGAGAGGGATTTTTCGAACTTCCTTCAGTACTGAAGCTGATGAGATTGCACTATTATAATCTTCCGATGAATTCCAAATTCGACTTGAGCTGAGATTTGGATTGTAGTTTAGGTAGCTGGGCTCGGCTACTTTGGGCCCATCACTCAAATGTTGGGTTCAAAAATTCTCTATTTTGAGCAAAAAACATAACTAGCCAGATTTGTAAGAAAATTCGCACATATAGCACTATTAGGTCATTTACACATTAGGCAAGCAAATATTTATATTCCTAGCCAAAATCATTTAAACATGGTAACTTCAATCACCCATTTAAGTTACCTACTACTATTTAATTAAGACAATTAGTCATTATTGTCAGCATATCTTATTATTTGTAATTGCCGCATTCCATAGAATTCCATATGCCCTATTGTATTACGAGCAGCAACTAATTATAAATCATACATAATTATAAATCATTTTATCCGTAAATCTGTGAAATATTTGAAAAAGTTATACCACAATAAAATAATCCTTAATGAGGGTATAAGATATACATGTTATAAGTGATTTATCTTCTGGTTGGGAACTTGCTGTAGCACTAGCACAGTATAAATCTTTATTTCATAAAGGATCAAAAGTTGATAACACAAGTAAAAAGACATCGCAAAAGTATATTTGCAATTACTAATGCAAATACTAGTTTGATAATTACATTTCATGTATAACATGTATAAAATATCCGACTATTTTGATGCTATAGCAGCTCTACATTTAGTATAACATGTATCTTTTTATTATATATCATGTATAATGTATCATATTGTCATACCTTTACAACAAATCTGCTTTATCGTATTTTATATGTTGTATAATTTTAGTTTTAAACAAAGATAATTTTTGTGATGTTCAATAAGGTAAAATATTCCCACTCGTGTATGTTGTGGTTAATTCCCAAACAACTGATCAAAAGGATAAGAAGAGTGGAGCTAAATCTAATGTATGGCATATTATAAATCATGTGCTTTTTTAGGAAAAATTATGTATATATGCATATGTTATTTATACACTTATTTATATTTAAAGAGATATTATAAATATGTCATTTATATTTTGCACTAACATAACATGCATATTTGTACAAATTATCCGTATATAAATAGTATATGTGACATATTTTTTTTCTTCTATATACATATTAGTGGCATATTAATATTTTAGATTAAATTTTATGTAAGGTATATGCTAGCAATATATTTTGAATAATATCGATATAATAATGTAGTAGTATGATGTATATATAAGTTATATATATGGTATATATACATATATGGCATATTGATGGAATATTTACATTATAAATTATCACAATATAATATACTTGAAATATGTTAAATGTATATTTTTAGTTAAAATAAAATTGTACAGAAAAAAGTTTAAAATAAAATTGTACAGAAAAAAATTTAAAACTCAAAAAAGAAAGAAATACTAAAATTCTCATTGTGTAGAGAGAGTTATTTTTGAGATACTCTTCTTTCAGAATCTTTGATATATTTGGGTAAGTGTTATTTATGGAAGAGAAAAATGAAGTTATAGAAGAGTGAGGAAAAAAGAAATGTAGTAAAAAGTGTATTAATGTAGAGGGATCTCTTAGTTAATGGAGTTATGAAAATGAAAGTGCTAAAAAAGTATTTTAAAAAAAGTGTTGTTTTTGGAATAAACATGTGACGACCCGACCCGTCGTCTCATGTGTTTCCGTCTATTTTTCCCGTTTTATGCTTCTTCATGCTTCATTGTCTGTGTTGGGTAAGTTTGAGTTGTTTCGGATTGGGTTTGGTAGGAAATGAGACACATAGTCTCTTTAAGGAAGGTTTGGTTTGGAAAAGTCAACCGGATGTTGACTTGTGAGTTAGAGGGCTCGGAATTGATTTCCGATGATTCGGTTAGTTTTGGGGGATGATTTAAGGCTTAGGAGCGCGATCGAAAGTGATTTTGGAGGTTCAGTGTAGAAGTTAGCCTATTTTGGCGAAGTTAGGATTTTGGCGAAATTCGGTTGGTATGCGAGATTTTGATCCGAGGGTCGGAATGGAATTTCGAGAGTTGCAGTAGCTTCGTTGGGTGAGTTGGGATGTGTGTGCAAAATTTCAGTTGATTCGGAGGTGTTTAGGCCGGGTTTTTGATCGAATTCGAGTTTTGGAAGTTCTAGTTAAACTTAGGCTTTGATTTGATGAAATTTGATGATTTTGATGTTAATGGTAGCGTTTTGATGGTTCGAGCAAGTTTGAATAAGGTAATAGAATATATCTGTGCTTTTGGTTGAGGTCCCAGGGGCCTCGGGGTGAGTTCGGGTGGTTAAACGGAGAGTTTTGGAGTTTTGGCATGTTTTAAGGTTCTGGTACCTGGTGTTTCCGCATCTGCGGAAAAGGGACCGCAGAAGCGGTTCTGCAGATGCGGTGGAAGGGGTCGCAGAAGCGTTCCTTGAAGGGCCAGGGCTTTTCCGCAGAAGCGGACGTAGTTCCGCAAAGGCGGCCTCCGCAGGAGCGGAAATAGACCGCAAAAGCGATCCTGGGAAATTTAAGTCAAACCGCAGAAGCAGTTATTTGGACGCGGAAGCGGGGACCGCAGGTGCGGTATTAAGACCGCAGAAGCGGAAATCTGGGCAGAATAATAAGTTAAGTCTTCTTCGCAAATTTTGTAAGAACAAACATTTTGGACTTCGGGCAGAGAGGGTTTTTGGGCGATTTTGAAGAGGGTTTCGAGGGCTTTCATCAGGTACGGATTCTTGGACTTAAATTATGTTATTATGGTGTAAAAACATGGATTAACACTGAAAATCCAAGGAATTAAAGGTTAAAAATGGAGGTTAGGGCTTGAAACTTAAAAGAGTTTAAACTAGTGATTTGAGGGGTCAAATGGACTCCGATTCTTGTGAATTTGATATGTATAGACTCGTGGCGAGATAAAGATCGTATTGATGTAAAATTTTCTGGATTTCGAGAAGTGGGCCTGGGGCTCGGGTTTTGCAAATTTCGTAATTTTCGATATTTTTCGAGTCTTTTCGATTGGGTTATATTCCCTTAGCATATTGTAATGTACTCGTTGTGGTTTTGGCCAGATTCGACGCGCGAGGAAGTCGATTCGAGAGGAAAGGGCATCGCGGAGTAGTCTTTGGCCGGCTAGAGGTGAGTAGTAGATGTAAATGCTGCTCTGAGGGTTTGAAACCCCGGACTTTCACATCGTAACGCTATATTGAGGCGTGACACACATTCTATGTCGAGTGCGGGGTCGTTTACTATTGAGGATCGTGACTTGGTCCATCCCGAGTGATATTTCTACTATATTGGTGATTGATACACATACTTTATTGATGTTATTTGGGCTTGTTGCCATGTTCGGGGCCTTGTGCCGACCTGTAAAAATCCTTCGGGGATTGATATTACTGTACTAACAGATTTTGCATATCATTTGGTCTCAATCCAAGTTTTTAAACACTGTTTTGCAAACTCAGCCACACTTCTAAGTTTTGAAAACTCAAATGATATTTTAAATGATATTTCGGGCTGAGAACTACTGTTTTATAAATGCCCAAGGGGGCTTATGATGATTTTTGGACTGAGCATGGATCGGGCTGTGCGCCGCAGGAGTGATTTTGAAACAGTGGTAACAATGACATTGTATGATGTGACTTGAAACAGTGGTAACAATGACACTGTATGATATGACTTGAAACAGTGGTAACAATGACACTGTATGATATAAATTGGTCAGGTAACAATGACTGACCAGGGATTTATTGATGCCACGAGATGGCTTGTTATTGCGCTTGGGCTTTAGGAGCCCCTCCGGAGTCTGTACACACCTCCAGTGAGCGCCGTCGACGATAAATAACTATGGATGGCTCGGGCTGCGCGCCGCAGTGGGTACTGGAATGTACCATCATATGCATTGCATTTCATTTATGCATCTGTACCTTTATTTGTTGTTCAGCTGTTAAGTTCCACACATTACTGTATCTTGGATTATAGTGTACTTTGTGTATTTCTGTGTTTTCTTACTTTCAGTCTGTATTTATTTTTATTACTCACTGGGTCGGAGTACTCACTTTACTCCCTGCACCTTGCATGCAGATCCAGGTTCCTCCCAGGTTGAGTAGATCCGGTTGGGTCGATCAGAGGCATTTCAGGAAGTTTCGAGGTAGCTGCATGGCGTTCGCAGCCTTGGATTCTTCCCTTCTATCTTTATCCCTTTTGATTCCATGTTTCCACTTTTAGACAGACTCTGTAGTAGTTTGGAATTATGTATTTAGAGGCTCAGATTCGTGACATCGGGTCCTAGTTGGGCTATGTTCTGTATTATTGCTTAATTTCCGCACTAATTATCCGCAATGCTAGACTTTTAATGCAATGTGATAGAATTTTCCCCTGTGGTAATTACTTGAAATTTGCTTAAGTATTGGGAATTATTGTAACAAGGTCGGGCTTTCCTAGTAGTGTGCTGGGCGCCATCATGACCGGGTTGGGGTCGTGACAAGTTGGTATCAGAGCCTAGGTTACTTGGTCTCGCGAGTCATGAGCCGGTTTAGTAGAATCTCGCGGATCGGTACGGAGACGTCTGTAATTATCCTCGGGAGGCTGCAGAACCTTTAGGAAACTTCACATTCTTGAATTCTTATCGTGCGTCCTTGATTCATCTTGAAGAGAAACTTTTGAAATTCCTTCCACGCGTTCGTATGTGCGCATGAGCGCTCAGTATCAGATGTGCCTCGATGGCTTATGATTCCCCGATCGAGGGGTGGGGTGTTATCTCTGTGAGTTTATGGTGGGCCAGTCTGGAGGACTTGAGGTTGGATCTTTGCCTATGGCAGGAGCGCCGAGGTGCTGATTGTGCGAACAAGTGTTTTGAACTTATATGTTCGGTATTGTCCCTATTAGTGGGAATGACGGCTGGATAACTGCGTGATGAGTATGTTAGTACTGCCAGATGTTTCTATATAACTTGAAGTGCCGAGGAAGATCTGCTGGACGATAGGTGAACTATTAAGTGTATGATTTCCATTGTGATTGGATGTGTAGCTCCGAGTTATGAGCATGTGAAGAA